TTTTTTCTGAGCTGTCTTATTTTGTTACAGACCCCTCTCCACCCTGTAATCAGAGTGCTCTTTTGAAAATATGATTCAGGGCTGGTGAGATGGCTCAGTGGTCTAAAGCGCCTACTTAGAACAAGCTTAGCAAAGCACAGGGACCGCGGTTCAATCCCCCAGCACCACATGCCAGCCAGCCCCGCCCCTGGTGGGCTGACCACACACACACACACACACATAAATAAATAAATAAATTTAAAAAATATGATTCTGGTCTTGTCTGTCACTCTTTTTGATTTTATTGGTATATTTTATATATAATGGTTACATTCCTCATAGGGAATTTGTATCTGTACATGAGATGTCTTGCTTCTTTTTTTTTCCCATTCCCCTCCCCTCCCTTCAACCCCTCTTTCCCTCTTTATTTACAAAGCTCTATTTTCCTTTCATTTTTTTTTCTTGTCCTTTCCCTTTCCCTATTCCTTTGTTCCCTTTCCTATTTGAACCTTTTCTTCCCACTTCCCGCTATCTATTATACACTTTGGTCTTTGCTTACATCTTTCATTTCTCACACCAGAGAAATAATGAAAGATTTAAATGTGTGTGTTCAATTTATTTCACTTAAGAATTGGTTTCAAAGCCAGCAAGATAGCTCAGCAGACTAAAGCGCCTGTTTAGGCAAGTTTATGCAGGTGCATCCCTGGCACCACTTGCCATGCCAGCTCCACCCCCAGCGTGGGCTGAGCTGGACACACACACACACACACACACACACACACACACACACACACAGAATTGGTCTCAGGGTCCATCCACTGAGCTAGAAGCGTCTCAAGCTTATCATTCTTTGTGGAGGAGTAGTACTCTGTTGTACCAAAAAACCCCTTCGTCACTTGTGGGCACTTGGGCTCCTTCCAAGATTTAACTATTATAAACTGTGCCGCTATAAACACAGGTGTGCATATATCTCTGAGGTATGATGGTTTTTACTTCCTCCAGGAAGATACCAACAAGGTGGAGCTGGGGAGATGGCTCAGTAGACTAAGCGCTTGCCTGGCAAGCTCAAGGGCCTGAGTTCAACGCCTGGTTCCACCAAAAAAAAAAAAAAAAAAAAAGACACCAACAAGGGGAATAACTAGGTCGAATGGAAACTCTAGTTTTAGTTAAGGAATCTCTATGCTGATTTCCACAATGGTTGCACCAATCTATACTCCCAACAGCAGTGGGCATGGGTTCCTTTTCTCCTACAGCCTCTACTCCTGTTGTTATGGGTCAATTTCTTGATAATAGGCATTCTTTCTGGACTGAGATAGAATCTCTGAATTGTTTTCATTTGTATCTCTCGAACGACCAATGATGTTGAGCATTTTTTATATATGTTTTCCATTTCTACTTCTATATCTGAGAAGTGTCTATTCATTTTAAGATGCCCATATTTGGATTGGGTCTTTAAATTTGGGTCTGATGTTTTAACTTTTTTGTATGTTCTAGATATTAATGCTTTGTCTGAGGAATAGCTGGCAACATTTTCCCCCCATATTGTGGGTCATCTCTTCACTCTGTTGGTGGTTCTTTGGGTGTGCAAAAGCTTTATAGTAAGATGCGTTCCCACCTGGTGGTTCTTTGTGATTTAGGGTTTGGTTCATAAAGTCTTTGCCTACACCAATATCTTTAAACATTCTACTTGCTATGTCTTGTAGCAGATTTAATGTTTTTGTTTTAATATTTATTTAGTGAGTTTTTGTTTTAGCTCTTTGATCTATTTTGATTTTAGTTTAGTGTATGGTAAAAGCTGTGGGTTTAGTTAGGGTCTAGTTCTTCAGCATGTGGAAAGCCATGTTTTTAAGCACTGTTTATTAAAGAACTATTATTCTTCCAATGAAGATGTTTGGCTCCTTTGTCAAAAATAAAGTGGCTCAGCCATAGACCCTCAACTCTATTGTTTTTTTCTTCCCAGTACCTTGCTTTTTTTTTTTTTTTTTTTAAATCATAGTAGATTAGTAGTATAATTTCAAGTCAGGAATAGTGATGCCCCTTGCCTTGCCCTTGTTGCCCAAAATTGCTTTTGTTGTTCTGGGTCTCTTTCATTCCAAATGAGCTGTAGTATTGGTTTTCTAGTTCTGTGAGATATGCTATTGCTGTTTTCTCACACTTTACTGTAGTAGAGCCTGGGCATAGCAAGACTGTCTTGACTGTGGTTTTCCCCAAAGCCCTTTGCATGGCAACCCCTTAACCTTTGATCCTGAGACCCCCATAGGCCACTCTGGGAGAACATTTTCATTTCCTTCCTGACATTGATTCAGGCCTATAGATTTTGTGTTTATTTTCTTGTTCATCTTTTCTAATATTAAAGAAAAGCTCTGGCAGGCAGGCTTATGTGAACATTCATGTTATCATCCCTGGAACTTCTTGGTGACTGACACATGTGTATTTGCCAAACATTGGAAGCAGGCAGGCAGGAGGAACAGTCACACTGAGATTTCTGGTTCTACACATGAAGTTCCATATCATTCATTTTAAGTATCATAGAAATAGTACAGCTGGGGGCCGGGGAGATGGCTCAGTGGAATAAGTGCTTCCCTGGCAAGTGCAAGGGTCTGAGTTCAATCCCCGGTTCTGTCCAAAAACCAAACCAAAACAACCCCCAGAAATAGTACATCTGTACCAACCCTTGTCTTTGTCTTGATTCTTTTTTTTTTTTTTTTTTTTTGGTGGTACCAGGGATCAAACTGAGAACCTTGCGCTTGCCAGGCAAGCACTTATTCCACCGAGCTATCTCCCCGGCCCTTTGTCATGATTCTAATGGCTCCCAGTCCAAGACATTGCTCGGTGACCATCTATCCTTGCATGACTTTTTTATTGATGGGTAGATTTTTAGGACATATTCCTAGAAGTAGAACTTTTGTCTTAAAGAGCATGAATACTTTATTTATTTTTAGGGTTTTAAAATAAAAATTTTATATTCTTAAAAAGGAAGATAATCTATGATACAAAATCAACATTAAAAAAATCAATTCTGGTTCCGAAAAAAAAAAAAATCAATAGCTTTGTCAATAATGAAATAGTTGAGATCAAATTCAAAAAAATTGCATTCACAATAGCTTAAAAATAACCCCTAAGAAGGGCCAGCCAGATAGCGCAGCAGATTAAAGTGCCTGCTTAGGCAGAGTGCAGCAGGCAGCTGGGGTTTGATCCCCACCGTGCCATGCCAGCCTCGCCCCTGGGGCAGGCTGCGACAGCGATTGAGACTGGATGTGGTGGAGCACACTCATAATAACAGCACTTGGGAGGCTGAAAACAGAAGGATCACTATGAGTACGATCTGTGTAGTGAGACCCTCTAGACCCTGTACTAAATGCATGAAAAAAAAAATACCCTACGAATCAACCGAAGGAAGTAAAAGGCTTCTAGAGTGAAATGATATGAAATTGAAGGAGACACTAGATGTTTATAGATTGACAGGATTGATATTGTTAAAACGGCCATAGTGCCAACAGAAACCTGCAGAATCAATGCAATCCCTATGAAAACATCAGTGATATTCTTCACAGAACTAGAAAACACAATTCTAAAATTCATATGGAGGGCTGGTGAGATGGCTCAGTGGTCTAAAGCACCTACTTAGAACAAGCTTAGCAAAGCACAGGGACCGCGGTTCAATCCCCCAGCACCACATGCCAGCCAGCCCCGCCCCCTGGTGGGCTGAGCTGGCCACACATAAATAAATTTAAAAAAAATAATAATAAAATAAAATTCATATGGAAACACAAAAGACCCAGAGTAGCCAAAATATTCTTAAGTGCCAAGAGCAATGCTGCAGATATCACAATGCATAACAAGAGCAGCATGGTGGTGGCACGTAGAGTGACACAACAGAAGAGAGAACACAGAAACAATCCTCTACAACTGTAGCCATATGATTCTGGACAAAGGAGCCAAAAGTACATCAGAGAAAAGACAGCCTTTTAAGCAAATGGTGCTGGGAAAGCTGGATGCCCATACGTTGATTAGATCTCTGTCTTTCACCATTTCACATAAACTTTTGGAAGCTAACGTAGGGGAAGCACTTGAAGCCATAAGCCACAGGCAGAGACTTTCTGAGTAGTGTTCCATTAGCACAGGAAATAATAGCAAGAGTCAACAAATGAGACTATATCACGTGAGTTCTACACACCAGGGGAAACATCCAACGGAATGAAGAGACAGTCAGTAGCATAGGAGACACTCTTTTTACCAGCTACTCTGTCAGAGGATTAACATCTAGACTATATAAGAACTCAAAAGCCACTAAAAAAAATAAGATAACCCAACCAATAAATATGCAATGAATTTCATAAACACGTCTCAAAAAAAGTACAAATGGCCCCAAAATATATGAAAAAATATTCACCATCTTTGGCCACTGGGAAAATGCACATTAGAACGACACTGAGATTCCATCTCATTCCAGTCTGAATGTCTGTCGCTGAAACACAAAAAAAATGGCAAATGCTGAGAAGGATGCAGGATGTGTGGAGAAATAGAAATTATTACAGCCACTGTAGAAGCCAGTATAAAAATTTCTTTAAAAAAGCCCCAACAAACTAAAAATAGTGCTATCATTTGATGTAGCCACACCATTCCTTGGTATATACTCAAAGGAATTAAAGCAAGCACATTGTAGGGATTCCTGCTTGTCCTTGGTTACTGCGGTACAAAATATGTACAATAGCCACCATATGGAGCCAGTCTAGGTGCCCATTAACTAGTGAGTAGAGGGCCAGTGAGATAGCTCAGTGAACTAAGTGCCTGCTTTGGCAAGCCCAGGGGCCAGGGTTTGATTCCCAATCCTGCATGCCCTGCTGGCCTCACCCCTGGGGTACACTGAGCTAGCAGTGGAGTCTGGGCATGGTGGCACATGCCTATATTCTCAGCGCTGGGGAAGCTGGAAACAGGAAGATCGCTATAAGCCCAAGCTACATGAGACCCAGTACCAAATACATAAATGAAAAGAAAAAGTGAATAGATAAAGAAAATGTGGTATATATACACGGTAAGATATTATTCAGCCATAAAGAAGAATGAATTTTTATCATTTGAGGAAAATGGATGGACCTAGAGATTATCATGTTAAGTGAAAGAAGCCACACATAGGGGCTGGTGAGATGGCTCAGTGGTCTAAAGCACCTACTTAGTACAAGCTAAGCTAAGCAAAAACACAGGGACCGCGGTTCAATCCCCCAGCACCACATGCCAGCCAGCCCCGCCCCCTGGTGGGCTGAGCTGGCCACACCCACACACCCACACAACCCACACATGCAATAAATAAATAAATATTAAAAAAAAAAGAAGCCACACATAGAAAGAACCAGTATCACATGTTCTCCCTAATATGTGGACTCTGAAAGACGAAAATAGAAGGGAGACTATTAATAGACAAGAGGAAGGCAAGATGGGGGTTGTAAGAAGGGGTAATGGGATTAGATATAATCAACATGTATTATACACATGTATGAAAAGTTTTTAAAAAGGAAGGAAAATGTCATAATATGCAGCAAGGATGGGGATTGAGGACATTATGCTGAGTGAAATAAACCCCTTACAAGGAGACTTGCATGTGCTGGCATTTATGAGGGTAACTAGGACTGCGTATCATGCTGTACCTATAATCCCAGCAATCAGGAGGTTGAAGCAGGAGGCTCACTGGGAGGTCCAGGCAGGTCTTGGCTACATAGTGAATTCAAGGCCAGCCTAAGCGCTATAGCAAGACTCTTTCTTGAGGTGGGGGGAGGTCAGATTCCTAAGGACAGACTGTAGAACAGTGAGTGCCAGGGACTTCAGGGAAGGATTCAGGGGAGTTGCTCATGACTGTAGAACCTCACATTTTTAAAGAGAAAAGGCTCTGGAGGTCTATTTCTTAGTGACACAAATATACTTAAAACTACTCAATTGTGTGCTCAAAAGCCATTACAATGCTAAATTTTGTGTTTTTTTAGTACAATTTAAAAATTATTTTTATTTTTGTTTTGGTAGTAGGTAATGAAACCAGGGCCTCACATATACAAGGCAAGTGCCCACCACTGAGCTACACTTCCACCTTTGTTTACTTTTTGAGACAGGTCTTGTTAAATTGCCCAGGATGGCCTCAAATGTGTGACCGTCCTGCCTCAGACTCTCAGGTAGCTGGGATTATAGGCGTGTGTCACTGTACCCAGCTTGGTGTATTGTTTAGTGGTAACACAATATTAAGATAAACCTTAAAAGTACTTGAGATAGAAATTTTAAAAACCTATCTATGATACCACCATCCCACCAGACTGCTTCCCCTTTTGTCTCCTTGTCCAGATCTCACTTATTTTCACATATTTAAAATCATACAGTCTGTGCCCCTCAGATTCTCACATTTGTCCGTCTCCATCACACGGCCGGAACGTGCCGGAATCTTGCAGTTTCTGCAGCTTCCTCCCGTCAGCACTCTCCTTCCTGTTTCTCTCCTGTTGAATTCCAGAGTACATCAAGATGGCAGATCAGTACGTCCCCGTCCCTGGAGGGCCCAACAACAACAACTACGCCAATGTGGAGCTGATCGTGGACATCGCCAAGAGAATCCCCGTGCAGGTAACCGGGTCAGTGTGCCCAGGCCTGCCCCTGTTGGAGCTGCGCAGCCCAGCTCTGGAACACTTCCCTTCCGAGTGCAGGATAGGCTGATGTAACAAGGCAAAGAGCTTTTGGTGTTGTGGGAGGTGGGTTCACAGAGGATCTTTGTTCACTCATTTCTGTGTTTGCAGGCAGTATGGGCTGGTTGGGGCCACGCTTCCGAGAACCCCAAGCTTCCAGAGCTGCTGTGCAAGCACGGAATTGCTTTCTTAGGTACAATGAGTATCCTCTTGTCATGTATGTGGGATTTGGAACATTGACGGGATGCTATCCTGAAAAGCTGGGCTCAGTTTTTTTTCCCTTGTCACCTTTCACTATGGGTAGCCGATGGGTCCAGTGATGGGTGGGGCCAAGGGTGAGTTGGCCAGGCCACAGGAATAGGGGTTATTACCATGGTTATCACAGAGGAATGATGCTGGGTCCAGCAGAGCCCCAGGCTGGTGTTTCTGTTGGAACTAAGGTATCAGCCAAGTTCAGATTTCTGACCAAGTTTGAGGCCTCAGTTCTGAGAGAATAGCTTTTTGGTCTGTGTAATTTTCAGGCTTTAGATTGCTTTTAACCTTTTGGGACCAGAGCCTCGCATTTCTGTCATACATTAGGTAAAATGATACTTACTTTTTCATGGCATCTATCAGTTTTAGGACTCTCTTTTTGGTAGTGGGGATTAAGCTCAGGCCCTCTGTATTGAGCTACACCCTTCACCCTCATTCATTCATGTCTTGATAAAGACCTTGAACTTGTGAAACTTTTAGGTCAACCTCCAAGAGTTATTAAGTGTGTACCACTATACCTGGCGGATTTCAGCACTTTATTTGTGTGGATAATGTGTTAATGCTTAATGTGTGCACACCTCCCTTGTTATCCTTGGGGAATTGGCTTCATACCTTTTTTTTTTTTTTTTTTTTTTTTTTTTCCGGAACTGGGGATTGAACTCAGGTCCTTGCCAGGGAAGCGCTTATTCCACCGAGCCATCTCCCCGGCCGCGGCTTCATACCTTCTGATAGATACCCAAATCCACAAATACTCAAGCTCTTTATGTAAAATGACATAATATTTGCATGTAACCTCCTATATAGTTCAAATTTTGTTTTGGTTTGTTTTAGCAGTGCCAGAATTAACCCAGGGCCTTTGTATGCCTGGTAACTGAGCTCCTCCCACTCTTCCTGTGTACTTAAAATTATCTCTTGATTGTTTCTTGCTTTATTCTTCAGGACCGCCCAGCGAGGCCATGTGGGCCTTGGGAGACAAGATCGCCTCCACCATTGTGGCTCAGACGCTGGACATTCCAACCCTACCCTGGAGCGGAAGTGGTAAGGGACCTTCAGCTCCACCTTGGGGAGACTTCCGGCCCCATCTTGCTGAAGCAGGCCGTTGGGGGTGATCGCAGTAGGTTTTTACAATTATTTTGTTTAAAAATGTGAAGTTATCATGTAAGTGGTGCGATTCCATTGTAGACAACTTAGAAAATAAGAGAAGCACAAAAACGAAGTAGAAATCACCATTATCCTATGATCCAGTGTTGAGCTTTTTTTTTTTTCTGCAGTAGTAGGTATTAAACCTAGGCCTTGCATATATTAGCCAAGTACTCTCTCACTGACATACATTCCCATAATTAAATTAAATATAATTAAAATTATACTTTGAGACAGACTCTTGCTAAGTTGGCAGGCTAGTCTTGAACTCGAGATCCATGTGCCTTAGCTTCCCGATTAGCTAGGGTATAGATGTGTGCCACCACACCTGGCTGTGTTGAACATTTATTTCAGTGTAATCCACTTCTTTAGCCTTTTTTTTTTTTTTTTTTTTTCAAATATAGCCTTTTATTTTTTTTTTTTTTTTTCGGAACCGGGGATTGAACTCAGATCCTTGTGTTTGCCAGTCAAGCGCTTATCCTACTGAGCCATCTCCCCGGCCCCTAGCCTTTAATTTTATTAATTAATTAATTTTGGTACCAGAAATTAAACTCAGGACCTCATGCTTGCCAGGCAGGCGCTGTGTCGCTAAACGTTATCCCTGGCCAAAAAAGTCAGTTCTTGTATTTCCTGGATTATGACTCATCCCTCACTTCCACTGTTGAGTGTCTTTCTAGGTCAGTAAATATACTTTTCATTATTTAAAATTTCTGCATAGATTATATATATATACTATAATTTACTTAATCCTCTGTAGTTGTACAATTTATTTTTTCTAATTTATTTTCTAGTTTTAAAAATAATCAAATGAATGGAGCTTTGCTAATTTTTTGTTCTATTGATATATGCTTTGCAATGCTCTTAAGATAAATTTCAAAAAGTGGAATTTTTAAGACAAATTAAAAGCAAACAGGAAAAAGTCTCAGAAATTTGGTACTCAACTTGATCTTGTCTTTTATTGAAAAATTTTCCAGTTTGGAAAATTTATTTTTCTTCATTAAACCTTTACATCATTTTGGATCTTCGTGTGATTCTTACATAGGTGACTTCCCAGGTAGCGCTGGAGGTTTTTGGCAAACACAGTCGGATGCTGCTGTCAACAGACTTAGTTTGAATTCCTTTCTTTTTAAAAACATTTTTTCTTGGTCCATATTTGTCATATGTAGTGATCACACTTATCACGGGGAATTTGTACTTGTACATAACATAGCTAAATCCTTTTTCCTTCTCCCTTCCTTTCCCTTCTACCCTTCTTCTCCTTCCCATGTACAGAAACTTTGTTCAGAATTTTTCTTCCATTCTTTTTTTTAATGTTCCTTTCCCTCCCTCCCTTCTTTCCTTCCCTTGTTCCCCTTCTCATTTGGACATGTTCTTCCTACTTCCCAATGTCTGTCTTCCATTTGGCTCTTCACTTATCCTTGCGATTTCTCACATGAGAAACTATGTACTATTTTAGATGTAGAAAAAGCATTTGACAAAGTCCAACATGTATTAATGATAAAAACCCTACAGAAAATTGGAATAGAAGGTCTTTACCTCAACCGGATAAAATCCATCTATGACAAAACAATAGTCAGCATCATACTAAATGGACAAAACCAAAATGCATTCATTCCTAAAATCAGGAACAAGACAAGGGTGCCCATTATCAGTCCTACTCAGTCTAGTTCTGGAAACATTAGCCAGAGCAGTTAGATAAGAGAAAGGACCATGGATAAGAAGTAGCTAAATTATCATTATTTGTGGATGACATGATACTGTATGTAGTAGACCCCAAAACTCCACCAAAAGACTCCTAGAATTAATAACCAAATTCTGTAGCAAAGCAGGATACAACGTCAGCAATTAAAAATCCATACCATTCCTGTACACAAACAACAAACTTATAGGAGAGAAATTAGAGAAACAACACCTTTCACAATAGCATCAAGAAAAGTGAAATAATTTGGAATCAATCTAACAAAGAAATTGAAAGATCTTTACATAGAAAACTACAGTGCTATGAAAAAGGAGGTCAGAAAAATAGAAAGATATATCCTATTCTTGGATAGGCAGAACCAATATAGTGAAAATGGCCATATATACACCGTTATGCAGAATTAATGCAATGCCAGACTAAACATGAGTGGCATACCTTACAGAACTAGAGAAAACAATCCTAAAATTCATTTGGAATCAAAAGAGACCCAGAATAGCAAACCAATTCTGGGCAACAAGGGCAAGGCAGAGGGCATCATAATCCCTGACTTGAAATTATACCACAAAGCTATTGTGATAAAAAACCAGCATGATACTGGCAAAAGAAAAAAAAAAAAAAAAGCAAACAAATATAAAACCACCACCACAACAACAAAAATAAAAAGACTTGACAATAAAACACACCAGAAGATACAGAAACAACTCGAAACACCCTCAGTTGCCTTATATTTGACCAAGGGGGCAAACACCTTTACTGAAGAAAGACAGCCTTTTTAATAAATAATGCTGCAAAAACTGGCTTTCTATATCCTAGAACCAATTTTCTCACCATGCACTAAAGTTGAAATTGATCAAAGACCAACTGTCAAAACAGAAACACTTAATCTGCTGGAAGATAGAACAAGTAAAATTCTAAAACATAGCTGTAAGCAAAGACTTACTCAACAAAACCCCAATTGCATGGGAAATAATACAAAAAATCAGCAGTTAGGATCACATCAGACTAAAAAGCTTTTTTGCACAGCAAAAGAAACCACTAACAAAATGAAGAGACCACCCACAGAATGGAAAACATTTTACCAGCTATTCCTGAGACAAAGGACTAACATCTAGAATACATAAAGAACTCAAAAAAATCAGACTCCCTCAAGTTCAAGGACCCAGTCCAAAAATGGCATCTTGAAATGAATAGGCATTTCTCAGGTGAAGAAGTACATACAGCAAATAAATATATGAAAAAATATTCAACATCACTGTCATGCAGGAGATTTAACTTAAAACACTGAGGCTGCATTTCACTATAGAAAGAATGGCTGTTGTCAAGAAATCAATCGGTAACAAATGCTAGTGGAGATGTGGGGGAAAAGGAACCCTTGTCCATGGTAGCTGGTGGTGTAAATTGGTACAAACATTATGGGAATCAGTATGGAGATTCCTAAAAAAACTGAAGCTAGAGGTTCCATTTGACCCTGACTATTCCTCTTCTTGGCATCTTCTCAAAAGACTTAAAAACAGCATACCGTAGTGACATGCATGCTTGTGTTTGTAGCAGCACAATTTTCAATTGCTAAGTCTTGGAAACAGCTCATATGTCCATCAACAGATGAATGGATAAAGAAAAAGTGGTGTTGCTCTTTGGTCTTGGCAGCCCAAGCGAGATGATGAAGGGAATGTCATCCTTTGGAAAGCGTCATAATAAGACACACCCGCTGTGCCGCCGCTGTGGCTCTAAGGCCTACCACCTTTGGAAGTAGATTTGTGGCAAATGTGGCTATGCCGCCAAGCACAAGAGAAGGTATAACTGGAGTGCAAAGGCTAAAAGGCACAATACCACCGGGGAACTGGTCAAATGAAGTACTTAAAAATTGTGTATCTTGGGCTGGTGAGATGGCTCAGTGGTCTAAAGTACCTACTTAGAACAAGCTTAGCAAAGCACAGGGACCGCGGTTC